TGCAAATTAATATCTATAAGGTACAAACTAATGCAACTAGGAGGGTTCCTTTTTGTTATTAATTTTTTAATTAAATAGCATACCCGAGCGGCTATACTTATTTTTGACACGTGGCTTTAATCGATAGAGGTTCTTCTTTATTTATAAATTTTTTTTTTAAAAAGGAGTGCAGTGAGAAAGGATGACGTACACTGGAAAACCAAAAGGCTCTCTTCTTCCTCCAATGCTTGGAGACCTTTCACGCAGACCAAACGACCCAACGTGAAGAAGAAGACTCACCCTCGTCAACTGAAGAAGAAGACCCACCATCGTCAGTTGAAGAAGAAGACCCACTATCTATGCGACAAATGTATGCTATCATTGGTTCTGATTCTTTCAATATCTGAGCCATGGTTCTTAGATTTGTAGTTCTGGGATGAGTTCTAATATGGTTTTAATGGGTTTGAAGATCACTCATCTAGATTTTTAATGGTTTTTTAAAATTTTGGAATATCATGTGTATGAAGTACAAAAAAAACACAAATAAACGGGTATCCTGAGTTTTGATATGAAATTTAAGAACTCATCAACAATTCTACAACTTTTTTTTATTGAGTACTGTAGTTTTGTAGTTTTCCATCAAACTTGTGCTTTCAATGCTCCATTCAACGTGGTTTGTGTTTCTTGTGATTCTTGGCTACTTATTTTTGTCTTTTTTTTTATTTATAAATATTTATTAATCTAGTCTTTTGGATTAAGGAAAATAGATTTGCTCACCTATTGTTCAATGGTTAAACAAATTTGCTCATTGGTTAATCTAGTCTTGTGCATGTTCTATGGTTAAACAGATTTGCTCACCTGTTGTTCAACTATGGAAGCTAGTAATGGCATATTAGTTCACATGGAAATTGATTCGGAAACAAATCCTTCCGTATCAATTTTCTATCCTCAAGTAATTGGTGAGATCACTCCCTTCCAAGGTTAACAATTTGAAACATTAGAAGAAGTGTATGACTTTTACAATCAATATGCAAGGGAAGCTGGGTTTAGTGTTCGATCATACTCTAGTAAGAAGAGTAAAGACGAAGAGGTCATACGAAAAGAGGACGTTTGGCAGAAAGGAGTCGGCGAGATCATGTTAAAGCAAAAGGAAGTGGGAAAAGACTTAAGGGCATAAAGGAGTTGGCGAGAGAAAAATACAAAGGTCAGCATTGTAATGGGTGTGGAAAATATGGACAAACACACGACAAAAGGAACTGTCCTATGCTTCAAAAATCGTAAGAATGCAAACTTATTTGTAATTTTCCTTTTTTATTATTATGTATTAACTCCTGTGTAACTTTGTGATGTTATCTTTGACCATGATAGATCTTCAAATGTTGACAAAGATGCTTCTAATGGCAAAGATAATAGTTCTTCATCACAGGTAATTATAGTTATACACAGAACTTATATGGAGAATTTTGTTGATGATATGGATAATAATTCTTCCACCTATATAACTTGCTTATTATTGAGAACGATGAATTTTTATTTCTTTTTTTATTTACTTTGTCTTGTCAGGATAATGAGTTTTTTAGATGATGTTTCGAACTCCAGTGATTCCACCTATTTCTTGGGTTGTAGAGTTGCACTTGAAGAAAGACTATGTTTGCCCAGTTAAGCTTCCTGCAGCTAGCCTCCTAATGAAAATATTGTGTTTGTATTTTTTGTTTTCATTAGAATGCCTTTTGATGCGCAGTGTATTGAACAAAGAAAACCATTCAAAAATCATTTCAATTAAAAGGAAACAAATTTGTTTTGCTACTATTATCTAATATCATAGTTAAGTTTTGGTGTTATATGAACGAATGTCTTGGATGAGTTTGCTAGTACTGAAAAAGTGAAACAAACTATCATATGCCATTAAAGTTCAGAACAGTGAAAGAGAAAACACGGAAAAACTGCCACACTATGAACTGAATAAAGTTTTCATTACTAAGATAAAATAAACTTGATAACATCGAGTATTCATTACAGAAGGGAAAAACAATTATGTACAACATCCATTATAGAAAGTGAGCTCGTCATCCCTATACAAATTAACCCCCAAAAAAAAAAAAAAAAAAAAAAAACCATTCTTATTACAGAGAAGAGCTACAAAATCCTTATTGAGTTTAAACAAACAACAGCAAAGATTAGATCCAGAGTACATCAGATGTTGGACTTCAAGAGTGAACGAACAAGATTACTCCAGTACAAACCTGCAATGCAAGAAAAAAAAATAAAAGTAAGACCACACTACAGTTATTAACAATAATATTGAGTTTGGGACAAAGAGGTTAGCCTTGTATTCACAAAGCCCTTCAACATAGAATTGCTTGAAAGCAAGGTGGTCCTTAAATTGATTATTAACTTCAATAAATTTCACAAGTTGGCATTCAACAAGTATTCATCTAAACAGAAAGTAGTACAATCATTATCACTTTGAATGTTTCACATTAATAGAAAGCCACGAACATTATTATTGGGGTAGCACATTAGCAAAATGTTGTTCTTTTTTTCTTTTTTCTCCTGAAAGCAGCAAAATGTCTGATATAGTTCTATACATATCAAAACTATCTGTCAAGGACAAAAGTGTATGAAACATCTACATTTCATTTTCTTTTTACCTTCTACTCTATCTGATGTTCAGAAAACAGAGCCCCATGAGATTTAACTAAGATACCGAACTAGTATAGCAAAATCAACAATCATCTTTTACCAGTTTGTAACTGAGAAGTACTGTTGTGAATTACCGGATCCTCATCATGAATTGGGTTGACATCTTGTTCTAGCAGTACTTCATCCTTGAATAAATAAATTGGGGTTATCATTAAAAAAACTAATAATAATTAGCAAGAACCCCCAAATTAAGAATTACTCAATAGAACCCAAATTGAAACTCATCACACAGAAACCCAAAATCGAAATTCCATTCATCAAATTGTTGTTTTTTTATACTTCATACACATGATATTCCAAAATTTTGGAGGAGTGATCTTCAAACCCATTAAAACCATATCAGAACTCATCCCAGAACTCCAAATCGAAGAACCATGGCTAAGATATTGAAAGAATCAGAACCAATGACAGCATACCTTTGTTGCATAGATGGTGGGTCTTCGTCTTCAACTGACGATGGTGGATCTTCTTCTTCACGTGGGGTCGTTTGGTCTGCATGAAAGGTCTCCAAGCGTTGGAGGAAGAAGAGAGACGTTTGGTTTTCCAGCGTACATCGTTACCAAGCATAAGTGGAATTTGTGGTGGGTCAGGAGTGTGAAAACGGGTTAAAAGATGTAATTCAATCTCAACCACACAAGGTCATTAAAACAGATCCAACGGTTGAGCGCCCTATCCCTAATCCAAACCGTCTATTTTGTAGATACACATTCAAAGATCATCTCTACAAAAAAATACTTGAATATGATATCATTTGACCATTTAATTGAGTTATTGAAATTTTAGTACTCTCTTGAAGCACCGTGTTCATTGATTTGTAAGACACAATTGGATATCGAAACGGTTTCCGATTTGTCTAATTTTTTGTAAGGATGATCTATGAATGAAGACCTAAAAAATAGATGGTTTGGATCATTGGAAAAAAAA